ATATATATATATATATATATATATATATATATATCATTTTATATATTAAAATAAAGTAATATGATAAATTACAAAATAATTTTTGAATATCCTAACATTATTTTATACTTTCATTCATTCAAAAAGTAAATCAATGTAAAAGAATCTCTACAATGTTGAACGTGGTTTTCCACGTATATCCAAACACGCTATAAGTGAAACTAGTTATGGCATATGAAGAACTAGTAAATAGTATTGTCTTTTCATTGACTCAAAAAATAAAAAATAAAAAATGAAAATTTTCATTGAACTGATAAATAAATTGTATATAAAAATATAGAAATAATGTAACAATTGAAATAGCTTTTGATTAAATAACACATAAGTATATAAAAATAACAAAATTTTGAGACTCTTTTTTATTATTGGTTATGAAAAACCTTCTTGAAAATCATATTAATAGTGGTGATTAAAGTTTTTTTCCTTCTTTATTTTGTGATAAGATTTTTCAGTCCTTAATTGTTTTGATGTTTAAACTGTATTAAATATACTTGACTCTTTTTCTCATATAAATGTTATTTCTTTTTTAAATAATTATGATAGAGGAGTAAAATATTTATCGTCAAAAATAGTAAATATACAATAAAATTATTTCAGTCTCGGCATAATTTATTTCATATAATTTGAACCTCTAAACAATTTAATTAAACGATATAAGTGATTATTACTTATATCAACTAATATTAATTAAACATGAAATTTGTAAGAATTACTTTAACAAGTAATGAATTACTATTTTTTTTTTACATGGAATTACTATTATGTTAACCATCACTAAAATATATTATTAGTATAATATTTCAACTGTTAGTGCTTCAGCATGAATTTAAAATAGAAAAAAATGCGATGAATTCATATAAAGAGAAGACTAAATCTACATGTGTTTAAAAAGGTTTGATAATTAAATTCATTAATATAAAGATATAGAAGCCGTAACTTTGTTTCATGCACCCATGTTTTTAGATTTTATGATGGGTGCAGCATCTAAAAGAAGGCCAAAATGGATAATACCAATTTCCAGCCCAGAAGCCCAAGCCCAGGGAGGCGAAGGAGCGTTGGGTGGAGTGGGCCCAGGGGAAGGGTGAGGACTGAGGACTGAGGAGCGCGAAAGGAGAAGTTGAATTGGAATTTGAGTGAGAAGGTGTTGGTGGAATTGAGAAGTGAGAAGCGAATAGAAATGCGGTGGAGATTGCTCCATGGATGGGAAGCCTAACCCGGATTCCTCCTCCCCGGACTTCCTCCGCCACGTTCAAGCCGCCCTGAAACGACACCGTCCCCTCGGTCCGTAACTCATAACTCCCTCACTCGCAATCCCATCTTCTCATACCTCATTTCTAGGGTTTCTCCTTTTTCAGGTACAATGCACTCCAATTCCATAAGGCCACGTCGCACGCTGCTTCCTCAGCGAACCAACTCTCAACAACAACCACCACCACCTTCTTCTCACAACCTAGATCCTCACAAGAAAGTCCACTTTTCAACTCCAACCACCACTGCTTCGCAGGGTAAAATTTTATCATATTCCGCGTTTCGCCTATTCCCAACACGTCACTCTATGGATATGTTTTTCTTTTCGTCTTTTAAGTTGCAGATGGATTGGCCACTGAGTTGGAGATTTTATCTTCTCATATGAGTTCGCTTCGATTCGCAGAAATGGAGTGGGTTGAAGGCAACCAAGTTGAAGCGTCGTCGTCGATTGGATTCCACCAGCAAGGGAATGTTCAGAAGGTAGGGTTTGACGCCAGTTTGAGAAGTGATAGTGGAGTGCCCAAGAGAAGTGTGGCTTCTCAGGATAATTTGCAGCAATTCAGAAGTTTTTTGAGTCAGCCAGCGACGCAATCTTCTTGTGCTACAACCACCTCGGTTCATTCCACTTCAGCGCCCATGCTGAATTCAACAACGCGGTATTCCCATTCGCATCAAGACGGTGGCTCGAGTGTGGCTGCTGAGTCCTTGGGGGAGGTTAATGTTAATCCCCGTCCTATGAATGATGGGGTTGTGAAATCAGTTAGTGTTTCCAATAGAATGTCGGTTGATTGCGCAGAAGCTGAAGTTCAAGCTTCTGGTTCTTGTATTGGTGGTGCAGTGTTGGCATCTCAGGAGAGCGATCTATCTAAGGAGCAACAAGGGGGTATGTTAAAAGAAACTGGCAATTATTGTGATGATGGTAAAGGGAAAGAGGCTGTGGATGTTGCCACCATCCAACCTCAGGCTCCACCTCCCACAACCACAACCGCAACTTCATCTTCAGATGTGAAGTTGGAGGCTTCTAAGGTGGAAAAACGGGAGAAGGCCGCAAGTAGTAAAGGTGCATCAGCTGCCCGGAAAAGGACTTATGACCCTGATTTGTTTTTCAAAGTCAATGGCAAACTTTATCAGCGTCTTGGCAAGATAGGTAGTGGTGGAAGTAGTGAGGTTCACAAAGTGATTTCATCGGACTGTAGGATCTATGCACTTAAAAAGATCAAGCCTTTTCGTCTTTTAAGTTGCAGATGGATTGGCCACTGAGTTGGAGATTTTATCTTCTCATATGAGTTCGCTTCGATTCGCAGAAATGGAGTGGGTTGAAGGCAACCAAGTTGAAGCGTCGTCGTCGATTGGATTCCACCAGCAAGGGAATGTTCAGAAGGTAGGGTTTGACGCCAGTTTGAGAAGTGATAGTGGAGTGCCCAAGAGAAGTGTGGCTTCTCAGGATAATTTGCAGCAATTCAGAAGTTTTTTGAGTCAGCCAGCGACGCAATCTTCTTGTGCTACAACCACCTCGGTTCATTCCACTTCAGCGCCCATGCTGAATTCAACAACGCGGTATTCCCATTCGCATCAAGACGGTGGCTCGAGTGTGGCTGCTGAGTCCTTGGGGGAGGTTAATGTTAATCCCCGTCCTATGAATGATGGGGTTGTGAAATCAGTTAGTGTTTCCAATAGAATGTCGGTTGATTGCGCAGAAGCTGAAGTTCAAGCTTCTGGTTCTTGTATTGGTGGTGCAGTGTTGGCATCTCAGGAGAGCGATCTATCTAAGGAGCAACAAGGGGGTATGTTAAAAGAAACTGGCAATTATTGTGATGATGGTAAAGGGAAAGAGGCTGTGGATGTTGCCACCATCCAACCTCAGGCTCCACCTCCCACAACCACAACCGCAACTTCATCTTCAGATGTGAAGTTGGAGGCTTCTAAGGTGGAAAAACGGGAGAAGGCCGCAAGTAGTAAAGGTGCATCAGCTGCCCGGAAAAGGACTTATGACCCTGATTTGTTTTTCAAAGTCAATGGCAAACTTTATCAGCGTCTTGGCAAGATAGGTAGTGGTGGAAGTAGTGAGGTTCACAAAGTGATTTCATCGGACTGTAGGATCTATGCACTTAAAAAGATCAAGCTCAAGGGTCGTGATTATGCAACTGCATATGGGTTTTGTCAAGAGATTGAATATCTAAATAGGCTGAAGGGAAAGGATAACATCATACAGCTTATAGATTATGAGGTACTCTCATTAACAGCAGATTTCTGTTACAATATTTTGTTGTATTTTCTTTTAGTTATTGCTGCTTCGTATCTCTCTTGGACGTCTGTGGATGTGGATACAGTGTGTAATCACTTTTATATGCATGCTCTTCATTTTTGGGCTCTTGTGTTATATACATTTTCAGAAAAGAAATAAAAAAGAGGATTTTCTTGAGTAGATTTTCATGTGTGTAGTAGTGTATGGAAAATATTACTCTATTTAGCAGTGTTCACTTTCACTCAATCAGTCAATCTTGTAATTAGGTGACTGACAAGGCTTTGCTTGAGGAAGTTATGAAAGGCTCCTTCAGTAATAAAGATGGTCGGGTGAAGGATGATGGATGTATATACATGGTACTTGAATATGGGGAAATTGATTTGGCTCACATGTTGTCTCAGAAGTGGAAGGAACTGGATCGAAGCAATCAGACCATAGATGAGAACTGGCTTAGATTTTATTGGCAGGTTTCAAAATCTACTATATATCCTTGAAAATATTTTATCATTTATTGAACTTGTGTGTTCTGTATATCTACTTTTTCCTTCTTTGATAAATCATTGAAATTTATAGTGTTTTCATTGTGTGAAAAATGTAAACAACACAACTGTGCCTATATCCAAATTTGCTTCAATATGTTCTGGATGTTTAATCAATTCCTCATATTTTACATATCGTTTAAAAAGCAGTTCTGTGTGTGGGTGGGTGGGTGGGTGGGGGGGTGTTATTTGTGATCAGATCTGAACTGATCTTCTCTAACGTTAGTTGCTAATTGCTATTATTTTCCATTATTTGATTATGAACAGTTGTTTCTTTTCCTCATTGATTATTTTTCTTGGAAAATTTTTCTTTACTCTTTGTTAATGTAAATTAGCTGAGATTGTTCAGTTGACACATTTTGCAGCAAATTCTTCTTGCTGTCAACACTATTCATGAAGAACGTATAGTGCACTCAGACTTGAAGCCAGCCAACTTCCTACTTGTCAAAGGTTCCCTAAAACTGATTGACTTTGGTATAGCCAAAGCAATAATGAATGACACAACCAACATCCAAAGGGATTCACAGGTGATTATGCTTATTTGCCACCACATTTTCTCTACTTTTGATGAACCTGTACATACGCTATGATTGCAATGCATGTCTCACTTTCCTTGTGGCTATATGCCTTGCTTTTTACCCTTAGTTGCTGTTTTGCATCATTCATAATTGGGATGTGCGGCAATGCCTAGCTAAAATAATTCCCTGCATTGTAAAATGTGGTGCATAATTGCATATCAATGATGTATGAAGTGTGAACTGCAACTGCATTAAGTGATATTACGTCATATTTTGTAGCCTTCTGTTGCATATACGGTTGGTTCTGCTTTATAAAATTTTACAATTTCAGATGATTTATAAAGAAAACATTTTTTTTCAGTAATGTTTTGGTCAAGTTGTGTCTCATTGATTGTGACGATAATGCTAAGATTTTAGATTAAAATTTTCAGACATCTTATTCAAAAGCACTTTTGGATTCAAGAATTATTTGATTATCACACATCTGTGTCGGATAAGAATTGGTAGAACATCATGTATTGGTTTACCAATTTAGGTGATTTTACTGTAATAACTTAAGTTGCTCTTTTTATGCGGCTGGCATCAGTTCAATACTCTATTAAACTGATATGCTGACCGATTGAATGGTTATAGCTTCACGGATGCATTTAGTTAGGCTGGATAATTACAATTTCACGAGTAAATCTTCCAAACTTACTGTACCAAGCTCTAAAGTATATTTAAATTTAGATAATCAAAAAACTGAAATTACGTTTATTTTCTCAGGCTTAGAAAGAAATACTGCAAATCGCTAAAAGTTTGGTATTTCCTTAAAAATAGGTGAAATTTTAAGAATGAGCGTTATATTAAAAAAAATTGTGGTTGAACTTTTCATCACAATTTTGAGGGGATATCAAACTAACTCTAAATAATAAATTTGTATTTAAAGTGTTTTAAACTGTTGTAGGTGGGCACTCTAAGTTACATGTCTCCAGAGGCATTCATGTGTAATGAGGCTGATGCGAACGGAAACATTATAAAGTGTGGTCGGTCATCAGATATCTGGTCCCTGGGTTGCATCCTTTATCAAATGGTGTACGGGAGAACACCTTTTTCTGATTACAAGACATTTTGGGCCAAATTCAAAGTTATTACAGATCCAAATCATGAAATTACGTATGAACCAGTTTCAAACTCATGGCTTTTGGATCTTATGAAGAGGTGTCTAGCATGGGATCGCAATCAAAGGTGGAGAATTCCTCAGCTACTCCAACATCCTTTTCTTGTTCCTCCTGTACCATGTCATTCATCTTTGGCCCAAGATCATAGCTGTAAATTGCTACAATTTATTTCTGAAACTTGTACATATGACCCAGAAGCATCCCAACTGTGTAGTCGGCTTCAACTGCTTCTTAGTGATCCACCCGAGAAAACAACTCACTCATTAAATTCACTAGATCAACAACTAAAACTGCTGTCCCAAATGTCAGAACTCTGTATTCAGCTGCACGAACGTTTGTCAAATACCGAAAACAAGTAGATAACGAGGGTAGCTAGTGAGTTGATCAGGTTGTGTTCATTTTATTTTTTTGGGTTTTTTTGTTCAATATAGTTTCTTCAATCCCGATTTTTACTCTATTTTTTCTTCCCACCTTACACCTCTATCTCATTTTTCCATCACATCACCCGCATTTATAACCTTCCCTCGTTCATTTTATCTTACCTCCCAAAGTGCAGGTGCGAAGAAGTTTGTATTTTATTTGACGTGCTTTTAGTAAATGTAATTTTCTTCGTCATACCAAAATTTTCATCGGCTAGGTAACATTTTTTCGCTTATTCGTAGTCAGGTTGAAATGTGTAGCAAGTGAACCAATTTAGTACATGTCTTGTATAAATTTTGTTTAGACAGAAGCGCCAGGTTCCATTATGTTCACAAGCAAATTAAGAGTGTAGATATGTTTTTTTAGGGGGTGTATTGGATTCGGATTTTAAAGAACTTTTTTAGTTGAAAAAAGTCTTGTGAATTTTAAAAGACTTTACAATATTTTCATGATTTTTAAGATTTTGTAGGATTCTACAAGACTTTCAATTAGGATTTTAATGGATTATGCAAGACTTTTAAGTTAGGATTTTAATGGATTCTGCGAGACTTTGTGAACTTTGCAGAATTTTATAAATTTTTTACATAAGATAAGAATTCAAGATTTTTTTCAAACATTCAAATTTAAAGAGTCAAATATAAAAATAATGAAAAAAAAATAATGTCTGGATAAATAATAATAATTTTTTGTAATATCATGTCGTTCTAAATAGAATTTATTCGCATATTCATAACTATACTAATCCTTCAAACATTAGTATCTTTTTGCTCTTGCTCCTGTATTTTAATAATAGACTTAAAATTATGATTTTCATTAATCAGTAATGTTGAAGATGAAGTTCGTCCATCACTTTAATTGGAAATTCATCATAATGATATTCTTTACGAAGAAAGTTATGTAGTCCCACACATTGTTAAAAATTATTCTAAACATTTCAAATTTTTTATAATTTGTGGTTTAAAATATTTTATTTATAATTTTATAAATGATTAAAAAAATAGTGGGACAACTACCTTACTCTCTTATAACTAAATGTCCCTTCATTTTATATCAGTACTAAAGTAGATATTTACAAACATCAATTGGAAGAAAAAAAAATATCTGAAATATGTTACAGGTACAAATTTTTTTTTTTAAAATTTTTAATTGCTTTCAATTATTCACTCGTGAAGAAATATTTTTAGTATTGAATTTTAAGATACTGCAATGTCTTATGTTAAATTTTTTTTAAAATATAAAAATCTTAATTTCATAATATAAAAATTAAAACAAATAAAATTCATAGTAAAAAAAGAAATAAAATAATTGTTGAGTTATAAAAGGGGAATGATAATAATAACAAATTCAAGAGAGGGAGAGAGATCACAGTTTTTAATTTTTATGTTGAGAGGGTTCTTCTCCCAACTAAGACTCATTCTTATCTCGTTCTATTTACAGAAATCCTAACTCAAATTCATCTTTTAC